AATAAATAATCTGAACTAGTTAATTTTAAAAAATGCCTTCAAACTTGGAATGGAACCACCATTTGACTCAGCTCTCCCACTCCTTGGTCTATACCCAAAAAACTTAAAATCAGCACACTACAGTGATGCAGATTGCACGAATGGTGTGACTCTACATCATGTACAACCAAAGAAATGAAAAATTGTGCTCCATTTGTGTAAAAAGATAAAATTAAATTTTAAAAGTGAAAAAAAATACCCTCAAGATGCAAGAATTCATTCATAATTAAAAGTATAACCCACATACTTTTCCGTATACCCAACACCTTTATTTTGTGCCATTGCTCTGTTTGACACTGTAGTGAATACCAATTAAATACAGGAGTGATTTTGCCCAGAAAGTCTTTTCTGATTGGAGAGAACACATTGATTCCTGTGAAAACTGTCAGAGAGCCACAAAAAGTAGAAATACTGTACTCAAAACATTAAAGAGAAGGGACATAAATGGTTACTCTTCCCTTCCCAGAGAGAAAACAGGGCCTTCTCCACACTTATTTTATCAGAGTAAAACCTCAACATTATTGCTCTTCAGTACTTATCAAAACTCCCATAGATAGAAATGGCATTTAGGAAGAGTTGCCTATAGGACTGCTAAAACAATAAGCTTTTCCTCTAATCACTGAAAATCTAATCTCCAGGCTGAAGCAGACCATGGGAGAGCTGTATATTTAAAATGCATTGTTTTTGCCTCCTAATTATCTCCACGTACCCACCCTTGGTAGAAATGTTCTTGCTCACAGGTGATTTGGCATTCTGCCACTGATTTCCATTGGTTGCCATTAGGGAAGATTACAAGAAGCAACACTATGAAATTCTCAAGAGGAAAAGTTTATCCCACATCTCCATGGTAGAAATACCTGTACTTTTCTGGTCACATAAGCAATAACTTTTTTTCTTACTATTTTATGGAGGCATCATCAATATGTATAAATTGCACATACTTAAATGTAAATTTTGTGTTGACTGTGTGTGCACTATGAAACCATCAAGCAATTGTGAAAGAATATACCAGCCTCCCCAAAGCTTTTCTCATGGCCTTAATTCCATCCTAACTAGCATTTTTCATTCCCAACAACCTTTGATCTGATTTTCATCACAATAGTCTGCCTTTTCTAGAGTTTTATAAAGGAATCTTTCAGTCTATGTGTTACTGGAGACTGAAATGAGGACCTCACACATGTTAGACAAAGACTCTAATGCTGAACTACATTCTCAGCCCTTTCATTTTTTTTTAAGAAGAAGAAAAAATTTATTTTGGGCTCATGGTTTCAGAGGTTCAGTTAGCCCTTTCATTTCGAGACAGGGTCTTGCTAAATTGCTGAGGCTGGCCTTGAACTTGCTATCCTCCTGCTGCAGCCTCCCGAGTAGCTGGGATTATAGATGCATTCCGCTGCACCCAGCAGTCTGACTTCTTTCACTCAATATAATTTTTTGAGATTCATCCATGCTGTGGTGTACAGCAGCTCATTTCATTTCTAAGTGATATCTTGTTGGAATATTCCACAATTTGTCCATTCTCCTGTTAATAGAAATTTAGATTGTTTCCAGTTTTTTATTGTTACATATAAAGCTTCTATGACATTTGTGTACAAGTTCTGTATGCTTTCATTGCTCAAATGAATATACAGAAGTGGATGGCTGCATGCATCCATCCAGGAGGTATATGCCTAACCTTTAAAAAGAAAATAATCACTTGTTCCTCTTTGTGTGACAGCTAGTAAGTTTATACCAGTATTTGCAACTTGTGTCCCAGAAATGTGCAGAATTCCTCAAACTACACTTTGAACTACTTACCTGGTTTCTGGCTCCACATTATTTTGTCTATTCTTTTTTCTTTCTCTACTCTCCCTCATTCTTTTTTCTACATATTTATGTAAGTCACATTAAAGTCTTTCTGGGACATGGCTTAGATCCAGCAGGCAAAAGAAAAAGAAAATGTAGGGGTTATTGTTGAATGGAGCAAGCCCTGGGTTAAGACTAAAGACCTGGATTGCAAGCTCCACTGTTACTAAAATTTTATATGACCTAGAAGTAAATGCCATTCATTGCCTTATGGTTTTCAGCAACATCATAAACAGAAGGGCTGAATTAAATGAGCTGTGTTGGGTTACAGCTCCACTGTTTTATGTTTACTTCCCCAAGAACCCTCTGCTTTTCATACCTGATTCTCTCACTGAGAACCGAAAAGAAGATTGTGGTGAATGCTCTTCTACTACCCATACCAAGAGGTCTTGAACTAAATTAATCCTAATATGTTTATACACTTGGTGCTTATGGCAAACTGCATTAGCAAGTTTCTAAATTCATAACTCTGATCCCAGCTCTAAAAGTGAAGCAGACAAGTTTCTGTTTCTTTTGTTTACAGAGATTTCAGTAAAGAGCCGATGTGTACATGCTCATCTGTAAAGACAAAGACACAGGGAGGAACCACTTATTAGAGGGATCTTTGGGTGACCAAGGTCCAACTCCCCACCAAAGTTTAAAGGGATTAAATAACACCTGTTCCAAATATCCAGTGTGCTTTTTGCACCATCTCTCTGGTAAATGTTCATCATATTTATGAGCTACATCCAGCAGCCAGCACCTAATCTAGAAAATGCAGTATCTTGGATAGGGCCATCAGCTCAGGGCTTATATAATTTTTTGAGATTCATCCATGCTGTGGTGTATAACAGTTCATTCCTTTTCATTTCTAAGTGATATCTTATTGGAATATACCACAATTTGTTCATTCACCTATTAATGGAGAATAGGTAAAAACGGGGAAAGGGCTTATCAGCAGAATAGTGTTAGAATGCAGTCTCCTAAGGATATGGTGGATTTGTGAATCAGGCACATGTATCAGAAACATTAACATAGCAGCCTGACTAGGTTCCTAAATTCCACTCGTAAAAACTCTAAAAGCTCCTCTCTTTGCACCATTTTTTGTTCTATTGCTTGATTTTTACTTTAGAAACTTATGAAAAGGTGTGTTAACTTAGCCGTTTATCATTTACAGCTCAGTGGGAGAGGTCTAGAGACAAAGCATCACAAGACCTGGACCCCAGACTGGCAGGAGGGAATGGTGAGATGCATGCCAAAGTCAAAAGAGTCTCAAAAGATGTGAAGGTAGTTAAGTCTGACTCTTCCCTCTCCCTGTAAACAATATAACTCCTTGTGGGTGGGTGGGACCTCATCTCTTCTTATGATTTCCTAAGCCTTCTCTGAGTTTTCCCTGGGCAATTTTATAGATTAGACAATTTTATAGATCGCCACCTATGGTTAGGGAGCATGTGAGATACACCACTCTAGCTCTCCAAAACAGTTTGCATATTACAACACTATGATCATCTAGAATGGGGTGGGAACCATGGTGGTGGAGCTTGGTCTCAAAACTATTAACCTGTCATTATACTCTGTCTGTGGTCATCAAAAGTGATCTCTGACCAGGAGCAACAGCATCACCAGGGACTTAGAGATGCTCCTCGGGTGCTGCCTCAGACCTGCTGAATCAGAAATTCTGTGGGTAAGATCCACTTTAAAAAAATCTCAAAACTGCCTTAGGCCTTACCTCCAGGAAATGTTGCCACAATGCTTGCCAGTACTATACAGCATGCAGTTTTTCAGTTTGGCCACATGGTGGCACCAAAACTACAATAATCCTGACATTTAGCAGTAAGGAGCAGTGTTATTAGTGTGGTAGGGCCTCAGACCGGAAATTGGTTTCTCAAAATTCAGAAATAGAAAGCCAACCTAAAAGTTTAGTAAACAATAGCTTTACACCCACCCCAAGACAGCACAGGAAAGTATGACTGGTCCGAACAACTAATGGCCTCCTGCAATGACAAGTTTAATTAATGACTTTAGACTTCCAGTGGCAAAACAACTGTGGCCCCGCCCTCCAGGAAGTGGAGCCAGTGAAATATGGAAATACCTTCTCTTCTAGAAAGTCCAATTCTCCAGGTGAGAGACTGAGAGAAAGATGATGTTTTCACCTGCACTTTATCACTCCTGAGAACCTCCTCATGAGAAACATCAAGTGCAGAAAGGAAGCTGAGGACATTACATCCCCCACCACCATCACCCTTCCTTGTTTGACTTCTATCCTGAGCCCCCAAGAAAGATAAGAAGTGCATTTTGCTTTGCTTTATTTTTATTTCTAAACACCCAGACCCCCCCCCCCCCCCATCTCCCAGTAGAAAATCTGAACAGGTATTTCTTCAGTGAGGGAAGGGCAGAGTGCAAATATAATGAATATTCCATCCCCTAGATGCCTTAAGTTCAGAATGCCCCAACTTCGTAAGTGAAAGTTGAAGGTTTAGGAAGAGAGAAGAGAGAGCAAAGTGATGAACTGATGCAAATGAGAATTCCTGAGCTGCACAGCTCAGAGTTCATTTTGGAGGTGGGAACATAAAGGGCAAAATGGGGACCATGATGTTCAATTTTAACATAACTCATGAGGTAGACCAGAGGCTCCAATAAGCCAATATGGAGTAAGAGATCTAAACTCTAAAGAGGGCAAGATGAATTTTGGGTAATGAGAAAACTATAAAATAGGAGGCTTTTACCCAGACCCATACTACTTGCTATGCTTTTGCTCTATATCTTCAGTTCCTTCTTCCCTGGAGAACCAATCCTTCTGGGAGCAAAGGGAGTGACTCTGGAGAGACAAGAAAAGAACTGAGTGCCAGAAACCCCAGTTAGTCAGCTTCCACCCCTGGAAAAGGATCTATAGGAAATCGACTTGAGCTCCCCTACAGCACTCCCATTGTACTGTGATCCCGTCTTCTCTTGACCAGTACCCGCAGAGGAAAGGTGAAGCCCAGGAGGAGTGGAGTCTGGAGGCGGTCGCTTCTATTCAGCCCGGGATGATGACTAGGCCAGCCCTCCAGGTGTCACCCCAGGACGCTTGTCTACTCGGTGCAGGTTCCCGTTGCAAGATGATGCTTTTCTTCTGACTGAAGCTCAAGCTGCACACCAGTATGGAGCTTGTGGTGCCAAAGGGCTTTGGAACCGCTGCTTTAGTCCTCATAGCAGTAACCCTAGCAGTAGAGGCGCTCGCCTGTGTGCTTCCTCTGGTGGACCATGAGGTGCCATTGATGGTTGAAATTTCCCCCATGAACCCAGCATTTCTAAGGCCCTTCCCTGGTGTGGATGCCAGTGATTGACCAGAGTGTGTCTGAGAGGAAAAGCACTGGTCTCACTGCACTCATTGCACCTGTAGAGGCTGCTCCCCCTTGTATACCCTCAGGTGCGTGAGTACACACAGTGGGTGCAGCGGAATGGCCGCTCACGGATGTGGACGTGCTGGTGCCTGGCCAGGTCAACGCGGTGGCTGAAGCTACAGTTACACTGCAGGCCCAGGAAGGAGTTGGTGATGCGTCAGGTCCGAACTCCATCTCATAGGCTGATAGCACTGCGCGCCTTGGAAGGGCTTCCCTGCACTGTGACATCACCGGTGGCAGTTGAAGTTGGAGCGGTAGTTGAAGGTCTTGCCGCTCTGAGGGCTCTGATAAGGTTTGAGCGGGGGAGCGGGGAAGGGATTGCCTGGGACAGTTGGGGGCCACACAAGGAATCAGCTCCTTACCCTCTGAGGCGCTCTAGCACGCCTTATTAGGATGCTTCCGGGAGGTCTCAAGCCCCTTGGGCATGGGTGTGGAAAGGTCCCTAGCTTCCCTTGGCGGGGTTGAGGTTTCAGTTATGTCACCTGCTGGGAGAAAGCAGACGCCAGGGTTAGAGATGGGTGAGAAGGGCCTGGAGTGCATATCAGATTTGTGCCCTAATGTCTTAGCTACCATCAACCCATTGGCAAGTTAATCAGTATCTTTAGCCTTTTTCCCTGATCTATAAAAGAAAAGAAAAAAGGACATTCTAGGTCTGTTAGGATGACCAAGTAGCTGCTAACAAATATTTGCTGAATGGAATGCCTGAAAAGTAGAAGGATACACACATTCAAGATTCTCACCAGAAACTCATACAATGCAAAAACAAAATAAATTGAGGTTATTTTCCCCCTTGGTTTCATAATTATCTTCAGGGGTGGGGGTAACAGGGACTGCAGAATGGCTGAGTGAAGCACTTAACAAATACTTCTACCAAAGCTATAAAGATTTGTCAAGAACAACTATGCAAGGACCTGGAAATTGTCCAGAGGCATCCCACAAACTAGGAAGCATTCATTCCAGAATATTTCTAGAACCTCAGCAAGAACAGTGAGAAGCTACAACATTTTAACCTGAAGTTTCTCCCATTGCCCATCTATCCAACTCTCTGTCCTCAAAGTTCTGCCAGAAAAGGACAGGCCGTGAAGATCAGCAATAAAAGGGCTGACTTTAATTGGAACAGAACCAAGAAAATTCCAAGCCCAAGGAATTGTCAAAAACAATAGTGTCCCAGCACTTTGGGAGCCTGAGACAGGAGGATAACAAGCTCAAAGCCAGCCTCATCAATTTAGTGAGGCCCTAAGCAACTCAGTGAGACCCTGTCTGTAAATAAAATACAAAATAGGGCTGGGGATGTGGCTTAGTGGCGGAGTGCCTCTAAGTTCAATCCCCAGTATCCCCCCTCCCCCTCCCCCCCAAAAAACTATAGCTATCTCTGTAGTGAACAATCAGGAAATGTCCTGCATGTCCGCTAGTCAGAAACCAACACACTGAAGAGCAACAAACCTTCAGTCTAAGCAGATGTAACAGGAAGATGTGGAGAATAAGGTGTCCAATGTAGGTCTGGATAAGATTCCACATATCCTTCATGATCTAAAAGGCTATGCTCCTGTGAAAGGCTATATACACTACCCAGCTACTCAACTTAGGCTGAACATGAGGTCCAACAAACACAGAAAGTAAGAGCCTAGACAAACTTGCAAAATGATGGAACTTTGAATGCATTCTCTATGTCACACCGATCCATCAATAAAGGGTAGAAGACTCACTAGCTCAAGGTGTTTAAGCACAGCCTCTAACTAATAAACAGTTTTGACCCATGAATAACCTCTAAGAAGGTTAAAAACGAAAACAAGAATTTAAAAATTCTGTGGCCAATACTGAAGGTTAAAGAGACCCCACAAAATTAGTCCAGGCAAGTTTCTGAACAAATAAACAGCAGCACCAACCATTGTTGGAGGAAATCAGAATTCAGATTTGCTACTTTATCTAAAATGTCTAGAAAGTAACAAAAAATTATGAGAAAGGCAAAGAAGTAAAAAAAAAAAATGTGACCCATAGACAAGAAAATAACAACAGAAACTGCCTCTGAGGGTGCCCAAAATGTTAGCTATAAAAGTCAAAGGCCTCAAAAAAAATATAAGTACATGTTAAAAAGTAAAGGTAGAAGAATTAAAATATGATGACAAAGACTTATAGAAAATATAAACAAGGAAATAAATCATCACAAAAGAAGCAAATAGAAGTTCTGGAATTGAAAAGTATAGCTGCAATGAAAAATTCACTAGAAGAGCTCTACAGCAAAGAAAAAGAAAGGATAAGCATATATTAAGACAGATCAATAGAAATTATCCAACTGGCACAGTAAGGAAATGAAAAATTAACAAGGCCTCAAATATTAAGGTGGGACACCATCAACACATAACAGGCAGATTAGCAAAAGAGAAAGAGAAAAATATTTGAAGAATAATGGCTACAAATGCAAATGTTTGATGAAAAATGAATTTATGCATTCAAGAAGCTCAGTGAACTCCACTAGGATAAGCACAAATGAAACCCAAATCTAGTCAGGCACCGTGTAATACACCAGTAATCCCAGCACTTGGGAGGCTGAGGCAGGAGGACTGCAGTTCCAGATCAGCCTGAGCAATTCAGTGAAACCTTGTCTCAAAATAAAAGTTAAAAAGAGTTTGGGGATGTAGCTCACTGGTAGAGCACCCTTTGGGTACAATTTCCAGTACAAAAGACATAAAAAGTAAATTCATCAGGATTAAAAATTATAGACATATAAAGCATATACAAACATAACTAGAGACTTCCAAAATACATGAAGAAAAACTTGATAAAATAGAAGGGAAAACAAACAATTCAACATTTGGCAAGTTCAACATCCCCCTATCAATACTGGATAAAATAGGGCTGGGGTTGTGGCTCAGGGGTAGAGTGTTTGCCTAGCATGCATGAGTCACTTGGTTTGATCCTCAGCACCACATAAAATAAAGATATTGTGTCCACCTATAACTAAAAAATAAATTTTAAAAAATACTGGATAAAACAATAAGATGAAAAAACAACAAGGATTTATAATAACACTTGACCTCACTGACAAAAAACACTCCATAAAAGAGCATTATATATATTTTTCTCAAGGGCACTTAGAGCTATAACTAAAACTTTTACTAGAAAACATAAGAGGAAAAATTTCAGGACTTAGTTTGGGCAAAGATTTCTCAGATTTGACACTAAAAGCAAGAAATGAAAAAAGAAATTGATAAGTTTGATCTTCATTCAATTTAAAATCTTTCCCCAAAACATTGAAAAATGACAAGGTAAGCTACAGACTGGAGTAAATGTCTACAAATTATATGTTGGATAATTTTTATTCAAAATATGAAGAACCTCTTACAACTTACTAACAAATGACCCAATTATAAAATGGGCCAAAGATTTGAATAGACACTTCCTTAAAGAAAATATGCAAATGGCTAAAAAGCACACAGAAAAATGCTCAGCATCATTAGTCACTAGGAAAATGAAAACTAAAACCGCAATGAGAAATTAGAGATTTCTAAATAAAACTAAAGCCATCAAGCCACTTAACATGTGCTGGCAAGGATGTGGAGAAACTGGATCCTCACACATTACTGGAAAAAAATATAAAATGATGCAGCTACTTTGGAAACAGTTTGGCAGTATCTTAAAAGGTATTACTCTACTTTTTAAGAAGTGCCAAGAAAAGACAAATTCATACAGACAGACAGTAAAATAGTAACTGCCTGAGGCCTTGGGTAAAAAATGAAGAGTAAATGCAAATGATCAAAAGATCTTTTGAGCATGATGAAAACACTTTAACATTAGATTGTTCTGATGATTTGCAACTCTTTTAAGTTTACTAAAAATCACTGAATTGTTTACTTGAAATGGGTGAGTTTCATGATATATAGGTTATATACTGCAACAAAATTATTTGTTATAGTTTAAATATGAGGTGTCCCCCAAAAGCTCCTGTTAATGCAGGAATATTTGATGGTGAAATGATTCAATTATGAGAGCTCCTAGTTTGAATGAACTGACTGGGTGGTATCTGGAGCCAGGGTGTGTATAGCTAGAGGAGGTGGGTCCCTGGAAGAGTGCTCTGTAGGGTAAATCTTCCCTATTGCACCCCCTCCTTGCCACCGCCCCACACACACACACACAGCCTGCTTACAGATGACACCATGAGCTGAACTCCTCTGGGCATATGCTGTCTCTCCTTGGGCTCAGAACAGTGAGCTTCAAATAAAATTTTCCTCCTCTAAGTTGTTCTTGTAGGTGTTTCGATCACATTAACAAAAAGCTAACTAAAACACTATTTTTAAAAATTATTTCTAAGGTCCATTTTCCTTCTAACATTTCATGACTTCAGGCAGTAAAATGTATTTACAGGACACAAGTTGTCTAGATGGTGTTTTTGGATGGGTGGATTGGCCTGCGATATGGAATGGTAAGGAGATGTCAGCTAATGATTCAGACAACCACATATAATCCAGGAATTGACGGATGTGCACATAAACATTAAAAACTGATGCAATTTTTCCAGATCATCACAGATAAAAGCAGTGATGAAGTATCTAAAGCCAGAACCTAATGCGGATTGTTTGCTCTCATACAAAGTAGGAGATAAATTCAATTCGAACTTGGAAGAAAGATTTTTCATGGCACACTCTTCCCTACAAGTTACACCACAGTCAGCTGTAGCTCATGTTTAATAAGGGCAGAAGTAATACAGCTTCAAAGATGAAAGCTCAGCTTCAAGAGTCAGACTCTCAACTCTACCACTAACTAGTTCTGTGATCTCCAGAAAGAATTGTATCTCTTTTACCCCTCCTTGTCCTACCTGAAAAATAGGATTAAGATGATAATATCTAACTCATAAACTTACAAAATAGTTCTAAATTTATGAATTAATATGCTTAAGAACAATTCTTCACAGATAGTAAATACTATATAATCTTGGCTGTTACTTTGATTCTAAACCATGTTGAGATATGACATGCTGATAAGATACGCTGAAAAAGGCCTTGGGCCAATTTGATGTTTCCTTTAAAAGCATGATGGGTTTTGAATTCCTCTAAACCTATGAGCTCTGGGAGTCCCAAACAAAAATGAGGCAGAAACATATAACTATACACAGTTATTCGTATAACTATAACATGCGTAAATAATGACCAAATGAACAGATCTCTTTAGTAGGCAAGCAGGCAATGTCTGTGACTGTGAATAGTTTTTGACTGTTTCAAAATAAGGTATCATCTAGTGTATGACCTCCTCTTCCTTA